TTAGCTATTTGGCCAGTTATACATGTTTTTATATAAAATATGACTGCAATAAAAGGCAAGCCAAGATGACTGATGGACATCTACGCGTGCAAAAGACAGATCATTTACAGAGGAAAATGCAAGTCTTCAGCAACTATAAAAACACAGAATTGACTGCTGTGCAGTGCGGCATTTTTGTTTTATAAAATGTTTGAAGCACTTTTTTTCCCAGTTGTTCTAAAAGAAGCAGATGAATGGATATTCTGAGGGTCTCTGGCAGTGGAAAAAGTATGTCATGAACTGCATTTTCAGCAGCAATTTGAAACTATAAGTCAGGAATACAAAGGTACAAGGGTCTGTGTCTATTCTTATATATACATATATGTATGTATAAACACCGGAATGATCTTTAATATATATAAATTTTGAAAGGTAATAGAAAATGATTTCAATACATTTCCTGCGTAAAGCTAACAAGTGAGTGAATTTCATCCCAAGTAAAATGAAACATTGTGACAAATATGAATTATTTTTCTTCACCGAGAAGAAACCTTGTGTGTCTTTTCTTCACCCAGGTCTTATTTATTGTACATGTCAAGTCTTATCCTGTAAAATACTGAAAACCCTCCACACACCCACTGACAACAGCAGGTAAAAAGGGTTATCAGAACTTTGCAGAAGGCGCACACACCATCTTTTACAATTAAACCTACCACTACTCTTCTTTCAGGGCCACTCAGAAAAGACATGACATACACCTGACATCTTCAGTGTAACACATTGCTGAATGTGGACTTGAACACAAAAGGCCAGATTCTATTCCACCTCTTAAGCATGTAAGTGGACCTAGGTGCCTAAGGGCAATTCTATTCCACTCTGCTCAAGGTCCCTGGGAAAAACACAGCTAATGCTGTATGTGTAATCTTCCTTCTTGCTGCTTTTTTTCTGACTCAGTGGGTACGTCTACACTTTTGTTAATGCATTGTAGTTATGGTGCATTAAAAATTTAGTAACTGGTTAACCAAGTACAAAGTCAATGCACATTAACTTGTGCTGCTGCACAGTAGCACCAGTACATGCGTTTTTAGTGATGCCAACTGCACAGTAGCCTACTACTAACTGCACAGTAACATATTAGCATGTTTTTTGCCCAGCATGCTACTGTGCAGTGTTATTATGCTACTGAGCAATTAGCATCTCATATAGATGCAACCAGTTTCAGGGTAAGATGATGGTATTTTACAAAAGTGGGTGCATCAATAGATTTTTAGGACATGAATGAAGTGGGACAGAATCACACTTTGCTTCTTAAGTCATCCTAGATACCCAGCAGGTAGAATAGAGTCTGGCCTCAAATGTGTTACACACCTTTGACTGGTGTTGGGTACACTGGAAGTTCAGTGTACTCTGAACTTTACTGCAGTAATCAGAATTTTTCAGGATCAGCCCCTAAAAGGATAAGGCAGATCTATTTAACATTTACCAGTATATAGAAACATGTACTGCATTGGTCTCTGCCTGTAAGTCATCTGTCAAGGTGGTTATGCAAAATTCTAGAAAGAAAGAGGTTTGCAAACAGCAGACTTCAATCACTTGTACATCAAGTATTAATACAGGTTTGGGAAATTAAACATTGTAGAAAATGGAACACCAGTAAAATTAAGTACAGACTTTTAAGGGAATCTCATATGCAGGTTCACAAACTAAGATGTAGATTGGTAAGGCAAGTGATCTGTGACCAATACAGTGAGCAAAACTCTTTCTTAATAAGAGGAATGGGATAACCACATGAGCTAGCAAATACAAGGGAAATATCTCAGAAATCAATGATAAAAATTTAGAATAAGAATGCTATTTTATTTAAATAGTTGGAATGGGTGAAATTTACCAGCAAGGTCTATCTTCTGATTATTACTAAGATACTGACAGCCTGTCCCCAATCAAGATTGAGACCCCATTGTGATAGACACAATAAATCCATAGTAAGAAATAAACTGCCTCACCCAAAAAACTTAACATTCTAATTTAAAAATATTGTAGCAAAACACAGGAATAAAAGAGGTAAAATGACTTGTTCAAGGTCACATAGTAAAGAGCTCAAGCTGAGCACTGTACCAGCTCAATTTCTAAGGCTCTTAAGCAATGCACAACCTTCAGCACAGGGTGAATTCAACGGCGTGAGAATTGCCAAAGTGCCATCTTCAGAGACGGCAGTACTTGAGACTCACTGGAGCAGTCTGATTGTATTAGTTAGATCAGAGCTTATCTGGACATCAGCTAACTGATGCATCAATTATTTAGTCTCATGTGTAGGGAACAAGTAGTAAATTGGATGAAATTGCTGTGAGGGCCTCCTTGCTAAATCCTCCCAATCTATTACTCTAGGTATAAAACATGATTAGACTGCTCGCTCACTGAGGCCTTCTGTTGGCTGTATATACTTTGGGGGCATCTCCATCCTATATTCTGGCAGCACTGCTCAGTGATTCTATGGTGCTAAGGTTTCTCCAGCTGGCTCCAACAACTTCTGATCCAAATTTAGAAAGGGCTAGTGGCTATAGAGCAAAATACAGTCTCTACCCATATTTCTCTTATGCCCTCCACTATATAGATCCCCAACAAAGGCAACATGAACCTTCTACTTGCCCACTCTTTACCAACCTGATCTGAATAGAACTATAAAGCCATCTTTCAGATTTGTGGGATGTTGTTAGAGAGGTATCTGAGCCTCTGTGGGGTTACAGCAACGTGGGATGAGAGGTCTATACGGGGTACATTCCCATATGGATAGGAATCCATCCCTGATATGATAGCCTGGAGGAAGCTGACATGGAGTGATTCTGAAATCCAGAGATATCAGAAACAAAGAATATAAAATGAGAAGACTGATATCTTCACATGGTTATCAGAAACTAAGTCACCAGCATTTCTATTCTGAAGCTGCATGGTTAACAGCTAATAAAGCAATTTCCAGAGATGAAAAACTAGATGACTGCTATGAAATGCTTCAGGGGCTATGTTTGAAAAGTGATAAACTTCAGTTTCACTCACCTCTTTGGATAAGAGATTTGAGGGAGCTGTAGTCAAGATTAGTGCTCTGCCTGTGAATGAAAACAAAATAGGGGAAAAAATCCTCTATGGCCTAGAGGAAAGATCAAAATGATTCTTGAAAAGTATCTGGAAAAAATCTGCTCACCCAACATGACTGGGCATGGATTCAGGACATGGAGTTTCTCTCTACATTTGATATTCAAGTTCAAACTAAACAGAGGCTGGAATTCCAGTTGAGATTTTCATACAGGAACACCAAGTATTGTTTTTTTCATTGCAAACTTTTACAATGCAGAAATGTGATATTCTTTCATGGGCTTAGGAAAGAGATCAGAAAGACAGCAACTCATGCATTCTAACCCTGGCTCCAACTTCAGGAGTGGGCTCAGAGGGCGGTGCAGTGGCGCAACTACACCTGCCTTCACCTATGCTGCAGGTGATTTTGAATGGCTTTGGAGGCAAGCTATAAGCATTGCCACTGCTGCTTCTCCCCTCCTTTCCCCTGCTCTTGAATTTCAGTTGGCGTGAGGGAAACAGGAGAAGGGAAAATAGCTGCAGTGGTCACTCTTTCTTCTCTGCAGTGATCACCCTTTGAACTGTAGAGACATGTAAAAGCAGGGGCTCTGGGCAGCACAGCCAAAATGTGCTAGGAGGAGTGGGGGCTGTGGTGTGTGTTCCCCTGTTGGTGCCAGTGGAGTTATTAAGCCCCTGAAACCTCCAATGCCTCTACAAAATGAATACTTCCATTACAGTTCTTTCCCTTCCTCCACAGTACCACTGCTCTTAAGAGAGACATCTATTATTAAGATTTATACCACAGTTTTTCTGTATGTAAATGGGGACAAATAATAATCATCATTTACCTCAGGAGGCTGATTCGAGAGGTAATTAGTTAAGACTTGTAAAATGCTGTAACAGATATATGCCAAATAGATTTGCTTGCCACTTAGATAAAAAGTGGCATTTCTAGTGACAGCAAGTTTTTTTTTCCATTCTGTTTAAAAATAATTTTAAATCCATAAATCATTTCTTCTGACTGCATCACTATTAAACTTACTGCACACATCATAATATCTATTAAAGCGATAACTACAACATCCCAAACTTGTTACTATTCCCCTGGGTTGTTCAAAGACTTTAAACACAAAGGTTGTATGGTATTATTCTGTCCACAGAGCAGAATGGATTATCAGATTAACCAGCAGTACTTTAGAAATACAAATGAGAAACAGTGAAGGCAGCACCTCTTTTTCATTGGTATCAAATCCTCATTGAAAAAAACCCATAACATTTTTAAACAGGAAAGAAAGGGGATCTATTTTATCATCTGGAAGCCTTTTCATACTAAACTTATTCCCCGCCCTCCTCCCCTGTGTACGTATGCCTCTTTTCCATAAAATTTCTTTTTTTTTTCTTTTTTTTTTTTTTACCTTACATATGCAGTCCATATGCAGAGGCAAACCAAAAAATAAGTCAATAATTAAAAGAACATTAAAATAGTAAAGCGCACCAGAGAGCACATGTACACGTGACAAAAATGTCATTTGTGTGGCTTAATGGTGTCATACATTACACATGCACCAGTTTTAGGGATTTTGGAAGAGTTTGCATCACTGTAGTTTAGTTAGGAATGATGCACTGCAGCTATAAGCTGTGGGAGAGGTGGACAGGCTCCACAGGAAAAAAAACAACAAAAAGTACCGGGCCTCTTACTTCTGCTTTCAGCAGGTGCCTGCTGAAGGCAGAGGTGGCAATGGGTGTGATCAGTTTGTTTGTTTGTTTTTGGAGGAGCCTGCCTACCTTTCCCATGACCAGGGGGGCTGAGTGGCCCCTGAGCTGCAGTGGTCTCCGGTCTTTCCCTTTGCAGCAGCGGTGCCCCCTGGGGCTGCCTACATGGGTTGCTAGTGGGCCAGGCGGCGCTCCAGCTTGGAGGCAGCACATGGCCTGATCCAACCATTACCCAAGCCTACCTGCTGGAAGTCCACTGGGTGCTATTCTCTGGGCAGGTTTCAGGAACAGTTGGGCACCTGAAGGAGGGAAGGACTGGGCCCCCTCAGCTCAGGAGATGCTCCACCTGCCGGCAGCTTAAAAAAAACAAACAAAAAAAATGATTGGGCCGCTCACCATGACACGATATAAAAATTGAAACAGTGGGTTTCAATTACAAACCTACCATTTCAATTTAGGGCATAGAATAAAACCCTGAGGAGTAAACCCCCATCACGTTAACAAACACCCAGAATGCTGTAATTTATAACCATATCAGAGCAATGAGACATGAACAATGGCTTTCCTGTCTTAATATTTCTTTTAAATTAAGTTTGAATCAATTCCATGTACAGTTTGTTTCCTTAAGTGTGTCTACAATAAGCACACTAAAAATGAAATACATATGCCCAATCTTTTAAAATCCAGAGCTTAAAAATATGTCTATTAGGCAGACATTTACCCAAACCAAAACTTGTAGTAGAAGCCGAACTGTTTATGATCTGTCAGTCTAAAATAACATCAGAAAAAACTCCTGTATCATGCACTATTATTCCATTGGACACATGCAATACTCAGGTCCTTTATAGGGTGGCACATGCAAACAGTTCATGGATTTCGGTGAGATAATCATGGATGACATGAAGCTAAGCACCCTGCACTTTTACCAACTTCAGTGAAAACTGAGGCCAGGTACAGACATTATACTTTTCTAGTCTAAATGATTGGAAGCCAGTCTAAACCCATAACAGAACAGAAGCTTGGCATACATAGACTGGTTTAAAAAGGGCAGCACCCAGTCCAAGATTCACCTGGATCGATGTGCACTCAAACTTAATTGATTTAGTTTAGACTAGTGCATCGAATTTCAGTACCAGTTCCCCTACTGATTCAAGTTAGGCTGCCATCTGTCATCATCCCAGGTTGCCCTGCAGCCCCTGCTACCCCTCCCTCCCCACCGGGAAGTGCATTAGCACTCACCCCACTTTTAGCTGCTCTGGCTGAGCACCCAGCAGGTCTCATCCCTGAGCTGTCACAAAACCGAGACAGCACAGACCCCTTCCAGCACAGACCCTTTGTGCAGTCCCACCTCCTGTGTCTGTCCAGCTGCAGGCAGGCAGTATGGGAGGGAGGGGGAGAAGGAAAGAGGCATCCATGTCCCTGCATGAACCCTGTCATGAAGTACCCCATCATGTACATGAGGTTGTGCCTACACACAGGGATTCTCCTGGCCTCAGTGTTAGGTCTGTGTGTACATAATGGGGTACTTCATGACAGGGTTTGAGCAGGGATGCAGATGTCTCCCTTCCCCCACATGCTGCCTGCCTGCAGCTGACAGATGCCTGCGGCTGACGGACAATGCAGCAGGGATAGCAGGGATAGTGTGTCCATGCTTGGAGTCTATCAGGGGTGGTCCGAGCACTGGGCAGTCTCCAGCAGCCCAGGTAGACCACAGGGCCTGCTGGGAAGCATGTAGGAACACTTCAAGCCTGCTAGCTTCAGCCTGTGTGCTACCCTCTCCTCCCAACCAAAGAGCAAACCTGTGTTCTGCTTGCTATCGATCTAACCAATGAGGCTTACAAAAAACCCATGTAATTTAGGTCAATTCTGCCTAAGGCTTTTTGAATGCCTGTACCTAGCTTGAGAGTACACAGGGGCACCTTGAAGAACAGGCAGTATGTCATGAAACATGCCCCTGGCAGCAGTTTATAATATCAAAATGTTTCAAACCAGTGGGGGGCAACCTTTTTTGCTGGCATGCTGCAAATTAGCCCTGCAGCCTCCTCAAGTGCCACTCTGATCCCCATTCCCTGCCTGATGACCTGCTTTTTTCTGCTCCTTTCTCAGTCTGCTGCTCTGCTTTCTGCTTCCTGCTCAATCTGCCTTTTTGCTGCCTGCCCCATCCCCCAGGTGCCATGTACCACATGCAGAGGCTGCCTGAGATGCTTGTGACACCCTGCAGATTGGCCATCCCTGTTTCAAACCATTCATCATCATTCAGTACTGGTTCAAAAGAGTGAACAAGAAAAAGCACAACAAGATTCCTCTTCTCCCAGATGAAATACATTGATTCAGGGATCTGGGAATCAAATCTTAAACAAGAAGGAACAACTCAGGTAATTGACAAAAGGTACTAGGGCAAGGGAACAAAGACAGCTGCAAGGTGTCAGAGATTGGTCACTTCTCGAGGAACACATAAAGGAAATCACCACAGCATTTAGCACTTAACTGCAACAAGAGCAGGAGAAAGATCAAAGAAACAGACAACTGGAATATGGCTGCTTCTGGGCCACAGCTGCCCTGTTTAGTTATCAGCAATCAGAAAAGAACAATGCAAGAAAAGAGAGGCAACTCTATAGCAGGAAGCTCTTAGAACTAGTTGGTCAGAATGAGCTAATTTCAATTGCAGTGCTTCTTCTGATGACCTGTTACTTGTGTGAATATTTCCAATAAAGTAAATACATGTTTGGCCTAAATACAAAAGCTAAGGTACATCCGACTCTTTCACAGCTTCAGAAGCCTCTACTCTATTCCCATATCCTGCCCACAGGAATCCCTAACACTGACATTCTATGCTGAAACCCTAGGAGTTGCAGCAAAGAATCCACAGTACTATGAGAGGGTGGCCAAAACTGGCTTTAAATCACATATGCATCTTCTTCCATGTTGCTCAGGGGAATAAAACAAGCTCTGATATAACTCCTTTGATGGCACTTGTGAGGTAGGGTAGGCTGCAGACTGAAAGGTCTTTTATAATCAGGGATTTGGATTTTCTGTTTGCAGTAGAAAAATGTGAATTTTTCTCCTTTCAAGGAGAAAAAATGTGTGACACCATAGGTTTCCCCTTGCAGGCTAGCAAAGTACCAGCCTGCAAGGGTCTGCTTGGGCTTTGGGGAGTGGGAGGAGGCCGATCAGATGCAAGGGGTGCCACATGCATGTGCGTGCATGCATGTGGCACCCCCTGCACGAGATGGTGCAGAGTCACTTGGAAGAACTGGATGCCTTTAAGTCGGCAGGCCCGGATGAGCTCCATCCGAGGGTGCTGAAGGCACTGGCCGACATCATTGCAGAGCCACTGGCGGGAATATTTGAACGCTCGTGGCGCACGGGCCAAGTCCCGGAGGACTGGAAAAGGGCCAATGTGGTCCCCATTTTCAAGAAGGGGAGGAAGGAGGACCCGGGCAACTATAGGCCAGTCAGTCTCACCTCCATCCTCGGCAAAGTCTTTGAAAAAATTATCAAGGCTCACATTTGTGAGAGCCCGGCAGGAAAAATTATGCTGAGGGGAAACCAGCA